AGAGACAAGAGTGCCATGCCAGATTAAGTAAAGCAGCTAGCTTCTGAGACCGCATGAGAAAAATACACACGCAGAATGTAGCTGCGAGTTTGTTCAGTTCTTCTCGAACAAAATTATGCTGAAAAAAAGAGCAGATCATGGTAGCTTTCATCCAAACCATGAGTCGGGTCAGTGAATGACCAGAATAATGTGGCAATCTCTTAATCTAAATCAAGGAATTTGACAGAAGTTAAAAGTGGTAAAGCCAGGAAATGTGCAGTGAAATCTCTGTAGGAGAGCAAACTGGGAAAACGGAAGTGGCTGCGGGTCTGTGCATGATACCTATCAACGACTATACTTTCGCAGATGGGAACCTGGGAGTTTTGCTAAGATACTTACTGCTTTGTATTGCTTCTTTCAGGCACTGAGGATTGCAGCTCAAACAATCAAACTGCAGAAACAGGAACCAGTGGTAATGATGATTTATCAGTAAACTCTACAAGTGGGAACAAGACCTCTGGAGGTGGAAGCGATGTGCCACTATTGGACAGGGCAATAAGTGATCAGAACAATGTAACACGTAAGTGGTTTGGAATGTGACTGGGATGTATATCTTCAGGGTGTTTCGTGCTTTTGTACTGTGTTAGCATTTTAATCCTGAACTCTAGTCCAGAGTGCAGAGATCATTGCAGGGACACGGATCCACCTGCTTTACTGGAGTATAAATGAGCCAAGGAAATGTATCTGCGCAGCTGACGGCGAGTGCAATTTAACACCGCGATTGTTGCGTGGCCTTGAAATAGTTTTGTCACTGACAGACTTGGGCACCCTTCCCTTCTTATTGTGACTTTTTAGGTTAGAGCTGCAACAGTTCAAACAAACTGTGACATAAAGATTTGAAATATGTACGTCACAGAATACAGCTGAAGTACTCTACCTAGTATTAAGGGTGCTGTATCACATACCTAGAGGAGAGCTGCGTGAATCTTGCAGCTAGAAAGGCTCTTCTCTTTGGGATAGCCAGCTTAGGAAAAAATAACAGCAGGCTGTGTGTTCCAGTCTCTCTCAGCACCCTGCATGCAGCTGACAGCTGAGGCAGGATGGTAATCACTGCTGCACCTAGACAGTTTTACTCCTTGAGATGAAGTGAAACTCAAGGAGTCAGAGGACGAGTAGATTGCAGAGCTAGCAAGTGCAACGTATAAGCATGGCTTGATTATTTTCCCAGGCTGATTACTGTTTTACAGAGACCTGTTATTTGGGTAGGGTGAGGAGAAGAGTGTGTTATGTGTTTGTCAGCAAATATTCTTGCAGATTAAAAGATTTTTTTTTCTTTTTTTCTTTACCTGCTTGCTTTTCACAGAGTCCAGCCCAGTTCTGGATCTCAAGGCAGAACATGTTGGCATGACTTCTGTCAACTTGACGTGGGCAGAGAATGACACTGCTTCCAACTCCTACACGTACAGGACGGAGTTTGTAAATGGTACCTCCAGGACAAACCTGACATCCAGTGTCACCAAAGCTGAAATTACTGGGTTAATCCCTGGGACATCTTACACTTTCACAGTATTTGCAGTAGCAGCTGATGGTGAGACAGAAGGAGAAGGGGTGTCCATAGTCCTGTATACAAGTAAGTTACAGTTATTTGCAGCTCTGTTTCTGGTGGTCTGTGTTTTGCCATGCAGCACAGGGTTCTACCCACCTGCCCCAGGGTTGAAATATCATGTCGTGAGGATAGTAGTTCAGTTGTATTGTGTATAGACATGATGTTTTAGTCCTGGATCCTGAACTGGGCTATATGCAAAGGATGGGGTGTTAGTGTGCCACAGAAACATAACCCTGATGGGTTTTCTGTCTTCCTTCCACACCTTCTGCACCATCCTCATCCCTGTACTGTCCACCACTCTAGATTCTCAAGGGAAGCCATGGGAGTGCTGGCACAGCGGTGACCAGTGCTTCTGCTTTGCAGTGTCAATGTCAGAATGACTTTTCTTCTGTTTTCCCTTAGCTGCCTATCGATGCAAAAGCCTTCAGGAGCATCTGGTGATGTTGTTGGGGTGCTCCTGCACACAGGAGCACCCCAACAACACACAGTGGTGTGCCTGTGTTTCTTTTGTCCATGTATGTGAGCAGATGTTGTCGCAGGTTGACAGATTGTTGTCTTGCCTTTCACAGAGCCCAGCCCAATCCATGATCTCGAGGTGGAATACGTTGGTGCTGAGAAAGTCAACTTAACATGGGCAGTGAGCGACGCTGCTTCCAACTCCTACACGTACAGGATAGAGTTTGTAAATGGTACCTCCAGTACGAACCTGACATCTGGTGTCACCAAAACTGAAATTACTGGGCTAATTCCTGGGATGATGTACAATTTCACAGTATTTGCAGTAGCAGCTGATGGTGAGACAGAAGGAGAAGGGGTGGCCCCAAGCCTGTATACAAGTAAGTCACAGTTGCTTGCAGCCGTGTTTCTACTGGGTAGCTCGGGGCTCCACCTACTTGCTTCAGGGTTGAAATATAAGGCTATTACCTATAGACATGACGTTTTATTCTTGCAGCCTAATCTGAGCTGTCTACTAAGCATGGGGTCTTAATGTGTAAAAGAAACATATCCCTGCTTTAGAAAAAACAAAGCAAACCCAGCAAAACAAACCCCACCATCCTTCCGCTCCATCTTCATCCCCTCATATGGGAGATAACTTCTTGTTCCAAGTACTCAGTGAGCTGACTAGGAAGAATGGCCCTACTAGGCTTGCTATTTGTGAACAGGGAAGGACTTGTAGGAGATGTGGCTGTCTTGGCCACAGTGATCATGAAATAGTTGAATTTAAAGTTTTCAGTGTAGTAAGAAAACAAGATAGCAGAGTTGCTACCCTGGACTTTGAGAGTGAAATTTAAGCTATTCAGGGAGCTTCTTAGCAGAGTACCCTGGGAATCTGCTTTCAAGGGCTTCAGAGTCCACGAGTGCTGGTCAGTTTTTAAGAATGACCTTTTAGAAGCACAGGAGCAGGCGTCGTGGTTTAACCCGTCAGCCAGGAACTAGGACCAGACAGCCGCTCGCTCACCCCTCCCCTTCCCTCCAACGGGATGGGCAGGAGAAATCAGCAAAAGGTAAAACTCATGGGTTGAGATAAAGACAGTTTAACAAGGCAATAAAGGAAATACTACTACTACTAATGAAAATAATGAATATGAAAAACAAGCTATACACAATACAATTTTTTCTCACTGCCTGATGACCAATTGCATAGCCAGTCTCTGAGCAGCAACTGCAGAATGTATGGATTTCGTGAAAAATTTTGAACTCCCAGAAAAGCTCAAACTCCTGGAAAAAAAGAGGATGGTTGAAACTCCTGGAAAAGAGAATTTTTTCCTCCCGGCCAACTGCCATTCATAAACTGAGCATGGCGTCTATGGTATGGAGTATTTCCATTGGCCAGTGTGGCTGGCTGTCTGGCTGTGCTCCCTCCCAGCTCCCACACACCTGCTTGTTAGCTGAATATGGGAAACTGAGAAAAAGTCCTTGATTTCACAGCAGCAACTGGAAACATCAGTGTTACCAACATCCTTCTTCTGCTAAATCCAAAACACAGCAGCTACTGGGAGGAAAATTAACTCTATCCCAGCTGAAACCAGGACGGCAGGCAAGTCCGCTGTGTCGAAAGTCAAGCAAGCAGGGCATAAGACCAGCCTGGCTGAACGGGGAAATCCTCATGGAACTCAAAAGGAAAAAGAAATTGTATGATCTCTGGAAGCAAGGTCAGGCTTTGCAGGAAGATTACAGAGCTGTGGTTTGTATGTGCAGGGGGAAGACGTGAAAGGCCAAAACTCAATTAGAGTTGAAACTGGCCAGTGTTATCAGACAAGAAAACATACTTTTTCAAGTTTGTTAACAGTAAGAGAATTTCTAAAGAAAACATTGGACAAATACTTACTGAAGATGGTCACCTGACTGACAGGGATGAAGAAAAAGCAGAGGTATTCAATGCATTTTTTTGCCTCAGTCTTTAATAATGTGGATGGACCTTTGCCCAGTCCCCTGAGTCGGAGGACAGTGAGAAACCATGGGACCATGGGAACAGTGACTTTCCACTTGTGGACAATGAAATTGTAAGGGGCCAGCTGTACCAGCTGAATGTTCACAAGTCCGTGGGGCCTGATGGGATTCATCCCAGAGTTCTGAAGGACATAGCGGATGTTATGGCAGGACCCCTCTCAATGATTTTGGGAGTCTGGGGAGGTCCCTGCTGACTGGAAGCTAGTCAATGTTATTCTGATTTACAAGAGTGTGAGGGAAGACCCAGGAAACTACAGACCTGTTAGTTTAACCTCAGTTCCTGGAAAACTTATGAAGATCATGCTGGGTACTATTGAAAGGCATTTAAAGAAATGCAGCCATCAGGCACAGTCAACATGGGTTCACAAAGGGAAAGTTCTATTTGACTAGTTTGATATCCTACTATGATAAGCTCACCTGCCTAGTTGATGAAGGGAAGGTGATGGATGAAGTTTTTCTGAATTTTAGTAAGGCTTTTGATACTGTCCCTCACAACATCCTTCTGGACAAGTTGTCCAACTGCGGACAACTGTTCATGGCACACTGGGTGAAGAACTGGCTGAAAGGCAGAGCTCAAAGGGTTGTAGTGAATAGGGCTGTGTCTGGCTGGTGGCTGGTCACCAGTGGTGTTCCTCAGGGTTCAATTCTAGGGCCAGTTCTGCTCAATATATTTATCAGTGCTCTAGATGCAAGAGTTGAATGCACCAGTAGCAGGTTTGCTGACGATACCAGACTGGGAGATGGTGTTCACTCTCTTGAGGGACAAGAGGCCTTGCAGAGGGATCTGGATAGATTGGATCACTGGGAATGATTCATGCCATGAAATTTAACAAATCCGAATGCCAGATTCTCCACCTGGAATGGAGTAATGCCAGGCACAAGTGTAAACTGGGAGAGGAGTGGCTGGAGAACAGCCCTGTAGAAAGGGATCTGGGGGTCCTGGTCGACAGCAAGCTCAGTATGAGTCAGCAGTGTGCCCTGAGGGCCGAGAGGGCAAACCCCATCCTGGGGTGCATCAAACCCAGTGTAATCAGCTGCTCAAAAGAGATGATTATCCCGCTGTATTCAGCGTTGGTGCGGCCTCAGCTTAAGTACTGTGTATGGTTCTGAGCCCCAAGACTTAAGAAGGCTGTTGAGGTACTCGAGTGCATTAAGAGAAGGGCAACAAAGCTGGTGAAAGGGCTGGAAGGAATATCCTATGGGGAGCAGCTAAGGACTCTTGGTTTGTCTAGTTTGGAGAAAAGGAGGCTGAGGGGTGACCTCGTTGCTCTCTACGAGGAAGGGAAATGGAAGGGGAGGTGCTGAGCTCTTCTCCCTGGGATCCAGTGATAGGACACGTGGGAATGGTTCAAAGCTGTGCCAGGGGCAGTTTAGAGTTGACATAAGGAAGCATTTCTGTACAGAGAGGGTGGTCAAACACTGCAACAGGCTTCCTGGAGAGGTGGTCAATGCTCCAAGCCTGTCAGTGTCTAAGAGGTGTTTGAAAACACCTTCAATAATATGCTTTAACTTTTGGTCAGCCCTGAACTGGTCAGGCAGTTTGACTAGATGGTCATTGTAGGTCCATTCTGACTGAAATTGTGCTATTCTGAGCTATTCTCTTTCTTGCCCACCTCCCTAGATTCCCAAGGGAAGCTCTGGGAGTGCTGTCAGAGTGATGGCCTGTGGTAGTGGTGTGCCTGTGTTTCTTCTGCCCATGTATGTGAGCAGATGTTGTCGCAGGTTGACAGATTGTTGTCTTGCCTTTCACAGAGCCCAGCCCAATCCATGATCTCAAGGCAGAATATGTTGGTGCTGAGAAAGTCAACTTGACATGGACAGTGAGCGACGCTGCTTCCAACTCCTACACGTACAGGATAGAGTTTGTAAATGGTACCTCCAGTACGAACCTGACATCTGGTGTCACCAAAACTGAAATTACTGGGCTAATTCCTGGGACGATGTACAATTTCACAGTATCTGCAGTAGCAGCTGATGGGGAGACAGAAGGAGAAGGGGTGTCCCTAAGCCTGTATACAAGTAAGTCACAGTTGCTTGCAGCCGTGTTTCTGGTGGATCCTATTTGCTGTGCAGCACAGGGCTCTACCTACCTGCCTGAGAACTGAAATATAATACAAGCCTTACCTGGGCTGTCTACTATGAACAGGGTGTTAATATGTAGAAGAAACACAGCCCTGATATTTTGTTTTGCGTTTTTTTGCTTTTTAAAACACCAAACCCCCTCTTACACCTGCCTCCACCCCAAAACAAAAAATCCCCCACAACAACAACAAAACCAAAACTCAACCAACCAAACAAAATAACCCCCTTTGTCCCCACCAACCTCGTCTTTCCTGGCTACCTGTCTAGATTCCCAAGAGAAGCCCTGGGAGTGCTGGCACAGCGGTGACCTTATGCTTCTGCTTTGCAGTTTCAAAGCGAGATGAATCCCACTCAGAATGACATTTCTTCAGTTTTCCCTTAGCTGCCTATCGATGCAAAAGCCTCTAGGAACATCTGGTGATGTTGTTGGGGTGCTCCTGCACACTGAACAATGAGTGATGTGAAGAGAGTGAAGTAGTGGTGTGCCTGTGTTTCTTTTGTCCATGTATGTGAGCAGATGTTGTCGCAGGTTGACAGATTGTTGTCTTGCCTTCCACAGAGCCCAGCCCAATCCATGATCTCAAGGCAGAATATGTTGGTGTGAATTCTGTCAACTTGACATGGACAGTGAGCGATGCTGCTTCCGACTCCTACACGTACAGGATAGAGTTTGTAAATGGTACCTCCAGTACGAACCTGACATCTGGTGTCACCAAAACTGAAATTACTGGGCTCATCCCTGGGACGATGTACAATTTCACAGTATTTGCAGTAGCAGCTGATGGTGAGACAGAAGGAGAAGGGGTGTCCCTAAGCCTGTATACAAGTAAGTCACAGTTGCTTGCAGCCGTGTTTCTGATGGTCTGTGTTTTCCTGTGCAGCACCGGGTTCTGCCTGCCTGCCTGCCTGAGGGTTGTAATTTAGTACTATTGGAGGCACAGGTGAGGTTTTGGTCCTGGAACTGGAGGTGGCCAATGTGCTAAGCATGGGATGTTTAAGTGCAGAAGCAGCATTGCGCTGATACAAAGCTGTTGGCGATGTTTGTCCCCAAGGCTGACAATGCAGAGATGTTTTTCCCTGGGAATCTCTAGCTTCTAAATTTCTGAAAGGGGGTTGGTTTAATTTCCTAGAGTATGGGGGCCTCAGACCCTTTTTTTAAGGGGATCTCACACAGAGCATATTGCACCAGGGGAACTCTTGTGATTTGGGTGCCCATAGGTGCCATCAGGCTGCAGTAGGAGAGTGGGATTTAGACAATGCTAGTTTGGGAGAACTGCTTTGGGCCGTCCAGCTCCTTGCCGTGTGGAGTATGAAGTCTTGACATGTGGTGTTGGAGAGACCATTTTGGAGCTGGCCTGCATGGCTGTAGACCAGCCTGGTCATTCCACAGGATGTATTTGAAAGGAAACAAAGGCCTGTTCTTGTCATTTGCGTTGTCCTGAAATGTGCCTGCATGTGTACTCCTACCTTTCCAGTTAATTTCCCAAAGTCTCTCCTGTGCTGCCTGAGCGTACTCACTAGTTGCCCTGTTTTGAAGATGCGCAGAGAATAGGGTGCTACAGAGAGGGTTTTTGGAGATGATGTCTCTCCCGTGAGAGTGAGCTCAGGGCATGAGGGCTGGAGAAGGAGCAGGGCGCCTGGGTCATCACCTCTGTTCCTCTTCTAGTGATATTCAATGTCCTTACCTTTTGCTGTCCAGGGATGCACTGCCATCTTTCCCTCTGTTCCTCTTTCCCGCTCACCTATGGCTTGCTAGGGTAAACCCTGGGAGTGCTGGCACCTTGATGACCTGTGCTTTTGCTTTTGAATGTGAAAGGAAGATCAATCCCACTTGAGATGCCTCTAGCTTAATTTTCTGTTACACAGCCATAGATGCAAAAGCCTCCAGGAGCATCTGGTGATGTTGTTGGGGTGCTCCTGCACACTGAACAACGAGTGATGTGAAGAGAGTGAAGTAGTGGTGTGCCTGTGTTTCTTTTGTCCATGTATGTGAGCAGATGTTGTCGCAGGTTGACAGATTGTTGCCTTGCCTTCCACAGAGCCCAACCCAATCCATGATCTCGAGGCAGCATATGTTGGTGTGAATTCTGTCAACTTGACATGGGCAGTGAGCGATGCTGCTTCCGACTCCTACACGTACAGGATAGAGTTTGTAAATGGTACCTCCAGTACGAACCTGACATCTGGTGTCACCAAAGCCGAAATTACTGGGTTCATCCCTGGGATGATGTACAATTTCACAGTATTTGCAGTAGCAGCTGATGGTGAGACAGAAGGAGAAGGGGGGTCCCTAAGCCTGTATACAAGTAAGTCGCAGTTGCTTGCAGCCTAAGCCTGTGTACAAGTAAGTCAGAGTTGCTTGCAGCCGTGTTTCTGATGGTCTGTGTTTTCCTGTGCAGCACCGGGCTCTGCCTGCCTGCCTGAGGGTTGAAATTTAATACTGTTGCAGGCGGAGGTGCTGTGATTTGCCTACCTGCAGTCAGAGATCTTTGTGTGGAAGTGACATGGCCGCCTTTTTAAAAACAAAGTAAACCCAAACCCCTCAAAACGAGCAGTTGTTGAAGGTGATCACCAAGTCCTGTCACACAATGAAGGAACTCTTCCTGAGAACCTGCCTCCCTGGCCTGGAATTTGTGTGGGCAGGTTTTGCTGCCTTCACTTCTTGGAGGATGGGATCTCGGATCCCTATTTTAAAAGGCTCCCACACAGAGAACTTGTTGTGGCGAGGGAACTTTTGAGGGCCTGTGGCTGCCACCGGGCTGCAGCAGGGGGGTGAGTTGTAGGCAGTGCTAGCTCAGGAGTGAGCCCAGGGCATGAAGGGTGGCAAAGGAGCAGGGTACCTGGGTCATCACCTCAGATCCTCTTCTAGTGATACTTGATGTTTGTTGCCTTTTGCTGTGCACCGATACACCACCAACTTCTTTCCCCACCTTCCCCTGCAACCTTCTGTCTTTCCTGCCCACCTCTCTGTTTTCCCAGGCAAAGCCCTGGGAGTGCTGGCACTGTGGTGACCTGTGCTCTTGCTTTTGAATGTGAAAGGAAGTTGAATCCCACTCGAGATGCCTCTTTCTCAGTTGTCCTTTAGCTGCCCATTGATGCAAAAGCCTCCAGGAACATCTGGTGATGTTGTTGGGGTGCTCCTGCACACTGAACAACGAGTGATGTGAAGAGAGTGAAGTAGTGGTGTGCCTGTGTTTCTTTTGTCCATGTATGTGAGCAGATGTTGTCGCAGGTTGACAGATTGTTGTCTTGCCTTCCACAGAGCCCAGCCCAATCCATGATCTCAAGGCAGAATATGTTGGTGTGAATTCTGTCAACTTGACATGGGCAGTGAGCGATGCTGCTTCCGACTCCTATACGTACAGGATAGAGTTTGTAAATGGTACCTCCAGTATGAACCTGACATCTGGTGTCACCAAAACTGAAATTACTGGGCTCATCCCTGGGACGATGTACAATTTCACAGTATTTGCAGTAGCAGCTGATGGTGAGACAGAAGGAGAAGGGGTGTCCCTAAGCCTGTATACAAGTAAGTCGCAGTTGCTTGCAGCCGTGTTTCTGATGGTCTGCATTTTCCTGTGCAGCACCGGGCTCTGCCTGCCTGCCTGAAGGTTGAAATACAATATTGTTCCAGGGAGAGGTCCTGCACATGGCCTACCTGCAGTCAGCGATGTTAACGTGTGGAAGGGGGTTCTGTGGCAGGTTTTGTTGCCATTTCTTCTTTGTGGATGAGGCTTTCAGGTCCTTATTTTGAAGGGCTCCCGCACAGAGTGCATTGTGTGCCTGGGGGACTTGCCCCATTGGAGGGGCCCATGGCTGCAGCTGTGCTGTGGGCAGCACTGTGATGTGTGGCTGTCAGCCACACTGCTCTGTTTACCTCACACCAAAGAGGAGAAGGCTGAGGTGCTCCTGTGTTCCTCGTGCTAGGTATTGTGACCATTTTCCCCCCTTGGTGTGAATATGTGCTGCTGTGTCCTTTCCTTCATTGCATCCTGTTTTAATTGAGGTGAAGTGAATCTGTTCCAGAGCTTCTCCCATTGGGTTTCCAGAGGTGCCCCAGGATGAAACCGTTAAGAGACTCTGATACTGTGCAAGTGCTGCTTGGCTGTTTGTAATGCTCAGTCTGTCCAAAATGTGGAAGCGTGGCTGTGCCTCTGCTTTTTCCGTCTGTGTTTGTCAGCAAATATTTGTGAGTGTTGATGGAGTCCTGTCTTGACTTTCACAGAGCCCAGCTCTGTTTTCCATATCCTAGAAGAGTAAGTATGCTGGTCTCTGATTTTTGCCATGAGAGCACAGATGATACTTCTTGCTACACCTAACAGGACAGAGACCCAAAGTCATGATTTCTCCTCTAGAAACCAGACATCCAGTGTTACCAGAGCTGTTGCTACAGATGTAAACCCTGGAACCTTCTAGAATTTTACTGTATTTGTAGGAGTAGCTGGCAGTGTTACTGGAGGAAAAGAAATATTTATAAAATGCAGTAGAAGTAAGACCCAGTCACTTACATCTATCTTTTAACTAAATCTGTTTCTTCTGATACACAATTCTGCTTTTGCTTAGTTTCTTAACATAATATCGCTTTTTAATACAAAATAATTTAATCCATGTGTCTTTTATCCCTAGATTTGGACAAAATAAATTTGCTGTGTGTTACAGTTATAGAATTTATAAGAGTTGTGGTCTTAAAGGCCAAGTTTTATAAGATGTTTAGTTTAGAGCAACCTCTCTTCTCAGTGTTACTGCTGCATGAACTTTTTAAATATCTTTTTGTATCTGGTCATAAAGTTGCAATTTTTATATTGTGTCCTATAGGATTCTCACACAAACTGACATGGTGGAGTTGGTGCTCTTAAGGATGGCTACTGCTGGTGCTCTTAATGCACGGAGCTTATATTTGTTTTCTTATTTGTTGGCCACTGAGAGTTTTACATAATTATACAGAGAGTTAATGTCAATCTAATGTCAACTCTTAAGCTGTATGTTCAATGGTTGAACAGTATTGTGAAAATTTTGCTGATCTTGACAGATACTGAACCTAAATTTTCTCAGTAAACCTGTCTGCAGAGGAGTTAGCACAGCAGAGGTCTGTGTATTTAGTGTGCTAAATACTTCTCTTCCTTGTAGGGCAGCAAGTCCTTGTAGGCAGTAGCTTAATCTTTTTTAGAAGTGGAAAGGAGTACAGAAATTTTACAAACATTTATACACAGAATTTACAAATAGACAGCTTTTTCTATGTACTACAATACTTGATTTCTTACTCCTCTTTTTTTTTTTCTTAATTATTCTCACTTCTTTTTTTTCAGTTCCTGCCTCAGTGAATTCATTTCAGTGCGACCCAGTGGCGAAGCAGTCTTTCCTAATGCTGAAGTGGAAATGTCCTTCTGGTAACAATTCTGGCTTCAAAATTAAAATATTTAATGGTACATGGGAAAAAGAACAACGAACTCCATCCTGCATGACAGAAGGCTTAGAGGAAAACTTCACAACAGCATCTTTAGATTATTTCAGCACATATAATGTTACTATTGCAACTCTTCTCAATAGTTCTGAGAGCCATCCAGTGCAGAAAATGTGTAATACAAGCATTACTGGTAAGCATTAAGATTTGAAAATGCAAGATATTCATAGGACCAAAATATTAACTTCATGATTGCAGAATACCAAACTTGATGTGCAGTACATTATCAGCCTATAAATTATGAATAAAACACTACATTCATGCAAAGTCTAATGTGACACACAATAAATATCTATTATATGAACAGCATCACTATTACAGCGTTTTCTTGTTTCAAAAACTTTTCTTTGTCAATCATTAAGGTACTCACAAATATTTCTGCTTATAGACCCACCTGCTCCAAGCAAAGCTCCTTTAGTCAAGGCAGTCAGTCACAGCTCATTCTCTGTTGAATTCTCTGATTTTGAGTCAGTGAATGGACCATTAAAAGCCTATGCTGTAATGATCACAACAGAAGAACAAGGTAAGACGTTATGATACTATCTTGTAGCTGTGTGAACAATTTATCAGACAGCTTTATGTTTTAAACTCTAAATAGGTGTTAAAGGAATAGAGAAAAAGCTGGCTTAGTATTTTCAGTCATGTTTCAAAAATCATGAGGCAAATACCATGCTTGCTTGTATACTAATACAAGCTATTCATATAAGCAGCTTTGGAATGTGGGGTGTTTTTCCCCCCTCCCTTCTTCAGCTGGAAGATATCAGTAGTAAGATCTTAAATAAAAATAAAAAAAAAAAGAGAGAGCTTTCCTTCTGATTTTACTAAAAACACTTTAACTGAGAGAAATGGGGTGCAGGTGGAAGGCTTGAATTGCATTGTCAGCATTAAATGCCATGGGAAGCTGAACACTAGGGAAAGCTAGAGGGTATCAAACTCACCTATTCAAAGCATCAAAACAGAAAAACTTTTTTAATTGATGAATGTCCAGCGATAAATCATAAAATTAAGGAACTTACCTTTGCAGCATAGGTTCTAGTTGGACTTCTTTTCATTTCTGCCAGTGCAGTGGGGGAATAAAGCAGCTGACGGAGATAGTTTCCCCCAAGCGGGGTTTGACATTCATGCTTATCGTTTGTCTTAACACTGGAAATGCATCTTGCAGTAGTTTGACTGTAGATCTTTCTTCTGTGGTTTTCCATACAATGTAAGTCCAAGGAATGCCTGGAGATATATTTAATGTAGTACATCAGTGTAGAAAATTCCTGTTTCTTCACATGCCTACTCAGCTGCCCCAGAGTTACTGATTTGAATGTCAGTCTCTTGCAAGCAGCAACAGCTCTGCTTGTACCTTCAGCCAGTCCTATTTAGTCTTGATGAGATTCAGTGCCGCCTTTTGTGTGGTTTTGATTCCAAGGTGTTCAAGAAAAAGGACTTTCAAGATGTGATTGAGAGAAATAAGGAAGGAAGATCGCCTGTATTTATAATCTAGAGTCTGAATGTTTTGATAGGAGCAGAAAACCATGCTTATGGCCAAGCATTGCTTCAGCTTTATAGTGTTGAAATAGCGTTAATATGTTTGAGATGTGTTTCTCTGTCTTAAAACAGACGTTGCCTTTAGGAGAGACAGAGGGGACTTCATTCAGTTGCGTAAGCAATGGCATCTAAGGCTGTTTGAGATGTCCTAGGGTGATATCCAAGACATCCACAAGGAGCTGCAGATACAGCCTGGGATGTACACCCTTTTGGAATGGAAACTAGGGACCAGGCAGGACCTAAGATGTATCTCAGATAGTATTGAACACCCATTTCTAGGCAACAGAGTTAATTGCAACCTCAGCTGCTTTTAAAGTAACCAAACTAGCACTTCAGAAGAGCTGTCTTGCACCCTCTTCCTGCAGTTATAGTTGATGAGAGCTTTGCTGCTAGTGGCAGTGAGCCACCAGCTCACTGGTGGCAGGTCAAACCTTGTCTACACAGCTACAGCTGTAGAAAACTTACTAGAGCTTTTCCGCCTTTCAGAGCTCCTGCAAGGCTTCTCCTCTTTAAATGTGAATTCAGTATGATATCTGCGTTTAGAAGGAGCTTTTAGCTTTGTAAACGCACTCAGTAGAGAAAAGTGTATGCAAACTTGAGTCAAATGAGCAAGATTCTTCTTTCTCTTGCAACACTTTGGATATTTATGTCGGTTTGCTTTGTCTTGAGTTGTTGGACAACTGGTAATTTGAGCTTGCTTATTACCTCTTAGGTTACATGTACCTCAAGTGTATAATCTACCTCAAGTTCCTAGGGTTCATCTTCTAACAACAGACACTGTAAAGTGATTCTGCAGATAGTGTCCTGTTGCTCACTGTTTGACTGTGGTAGCCCATTCTTCTTAGTCTTCTGGAAGAGAAACTCTTTTGTCCAGTGCTTGTCTATGTCAAGAGAAGGTAGAAATTAACTCTTCTGTCTCTTAAGGCTTAGGTGTGAGATTTCTTGTAAGACACAGCAAGGAAGTATAGGTCAGAGTGAGTTTAGTGTCACCCGGAATGAGGCTTGGTGCTCTTTGGGTAGCACAGCGTTACCAAATACCAGCTGACTTTTTCTACACTGCTTGCACTGTACTCTCTGCATATGATAGTGGATAGAGTGCGTATATACCTTTACAGAGAAGCTCTGCTATACGTGGTAGAAGTAAAACCAAAAGGAGATTAAAGCAAATAACATTACGGAGTAAGGAGATAGCTCAGTAAATTGTACTACTGTAGAAGAGATTTCTGAGATTGTCTGTTACACTCAGCCTTTCATTTCAGGCAATATTTATGGGGTAATGACAACTGTGGTTAATGTGACAGACTGTATTACCATCTCAGTTACTGTGCTGATTGATACAGAATCAGTGGCTGATGTATACCACATATATCCTTGTTTTTTTCCTGAAGGCTGTGAGTCTAAATTGAAGTCTAAATTGAACAACACGTACAAAGATTTCAAGAAGAAGATGACAGTCACCTATGTTACATATGTCATAAAGACAGAGCAGGAAAAATCATCTTCTTTCCATTCTCAGAATGGTACAAACGTCGTTGATGTGGGCAAGGGAAACACGATGTATGGCTACGAAAATGGACCATTGATTCCACTGCATTCATACAGGTATTTATCTCAAACTGCTGTTTGGTTAATGTTCCTGCAGTTGAAATCCAGCAGATCATCTAATGAAAAGATCACAGATCTTGCTTAAGGCTGTTAAAACCATGTAATGTACCTGGGTTTTTTTTTCTTCTCCCTTATCAACAGGGCAAGTGTTGCAGGTTTCACTAATATAACCTTTACTATGGCCAACATCATTGTGGGGGAAGAGAGTTATGTATCGTTTTCACCCTGTTCTGAGGCGGTTTTGCTACCCCAGGATCCAGGTACAGTTAATGTCAAATATAGGACTGGCGGCTTGCCACATACACAATGGGTGGAGATTCCTTAATTATGGCAAGTTTCATAATAGCAAAACACCTGTTGGTTTCTCTGTGATGGACTGTTATTTTCTAGATTGGCAGTGACACTGCTCTGTAAATTCATACCTTGCTAGTTCTGCGGGTGACCTCTTTTTTCTACATATGACTTCTACTGTGGAAGTAACCACAAGCTGTGCTACTCATGGCATGCTAAAAGGGATTAGAAGGCAAACTGAGACTTTGGTACAGAAACAAGTAGCAAAAAGCAGCTGATGTCCTAACAGTTCTGGTAAATTAGAAGCAGATGTATTGGAATGCAAATACTGGTCCTTTGATCCCAATTTTTTATTAATTTATCATCCTTGGTTTATTATTCTTAAAGAGCTTTCAATACTGGAACTGCTAAAGGACACAGTAAAGACAAGACATTTAGAGCTGAGTGTGCTCTGTCACTTGCGAGGTTCTCTTGTAGCATGTTGAGTGAGTTAGATCATTACCAAAGAGATAAATCAGTAATGAGTAATACCTGTTCTCTTTTATCAGGTGTTATTGCTGGAGCCGTTATTGGATGCCTTTTAGCTATATTGGCTGTAGTTGCTATTGGGGGTTTCATATTCTGGAGAAGGAGAAGGTAATGTGTGGTTGTTCCTGTATTTGTTGTGATGAGGAACACCAGAATTTCACTTCTGTATCTTTCTCCTAAAAAGGCCTCTCTTTCTGTTTTATGTGCTTGTGTCATGATGCTTTAAAATATATTCTATTAAAAATCTTTTTAGTGTGTTACAGATTAGAGTCGATGTATGAAACTAGTTAAATGACTTTGAGCAACCCTGTAGTTACAAACTAATGAGTTGAGTTGTTTTGTTTAGCTCTTCTGAATTCATGCATGCTGATGAAGTAAATCAGTCAAAGTGAGCAAACATCACAAATTATTGTGCTAAAAGACATGTGTAATTTTATCTTAGATAGTTTTACTTTAAATTATCCATTAATCATGCTTTTTAATTGCTTGATGGCCTGTCATATGAAACTTCCATTCCAGAGATTCCAGAGATTCCAGAAGCTGATGAGTTGCCTAGGGTTTGAGCTGGTCTCTGTTTCCAGTCTTTTCCAAATGATATGGGACGTAAGAGTCCATAAAGGCTTTTTCCTGCTTCTGATCACGTGGTACATCCTTTCTAAAGAGTTAGCTGTAGGGCCCTTAGTCAAGTTTTCTTAGTTTCTTTGACTCACTGGGGTTATTTTTACAAGTGTGTCCAATAGCTATGGACAATAATGAGAATAGCTTCCTTTAAAGCTAGGAACACTTATTTTCATTCAACTACCACTTTGAGTACCACTGGCACATCACTGTTGAGCACTTACTGTGGGGATTCTGGGATTAATAGCAGTTCTCCTGAGATGTTAGCTAGTGATGCAGATCCGTCAGATGTACTTCTTCCACCAAATGACATGCTTTGTGTTCCGGCATTGTACTCTGGTTCCAACAGAAAGAAACAGTCTCATTGTGCAACATCACTGAAGGAAGGATGAATCTATTCTTACTACAGGTGTAAGGTTTGCCTCAGGAGGGCTTTTTGCACAGAATGAGATGCTTTAGAAGAAATTGTTCTGAACAGGCACAGGAAATAGCTGTCGTCAGAAATCTCGTATGCGTTCCATTAGATTCTACTGTGAACCTGTTGTGTTGTTTTTCTTTTGCCTTGTAGGAAAGATAAAAGAAATACTGAAGTGTCCTTTTCTCCAATCAAGTAAGTCGATATCCTTTCACATACTGTTTTTGGAGCAAAACTTACTCTGAACCCTGATACTGGTTTTCTGTGCAATCTTATATAGAATTTTGCAGTATTAATTCCTCATGGAATTTAAAGACTTCAGCCTGCAGACTAAAAAGAATCATATTGATTGAGACTTACAGAGCTGCCACAGGGATTTGAGTGCTTGCTTCATGAATCGCTGTTAGACACGCAAATGCTCTATGCAGTTTTGAGAAACAGGATATTTGAATGAAAGGCAGGCTTCTGTGCATGCTGAGGAAACAGTCCAAGTTGTGGATAAAGTGCACATAGGCAAAATTGCACTGTGGCCTGATTTTTCCTTTGCTTTATGGCTACTTTGTGCTGAGCCATTAATTCGGTTAATGTTGAGATTGTAAAAGCTGACCATGGGAGGGTCACCACAATATGCTGGAAGTTACAGGCAGTGCAACTGAATCACATTATTGGTTCTTGCACCAATTTTTGTGCTGATGGACAGGCATGGCCGGAGCATCTCATGAAGTCACGCCTGTGTAGACTTTGATAGTTGACATAAAATACACCTGGGAATGGGGCCGATCTGATGGGACTACAGAAACGGCTGACTCACACCTTCGGTGATATTCTTCTCCTGAAGGATATGCTGTTCTCTCCTTGGTTTGACAGATCAGTTAAATGCTCTGCTTGATATCCTGTCCCCTGTAAATGCACAGTTTTGTGGCTGCTACTGACAGTCATGCTTTCATTCCTAGATTCACATAGTGAAAAATACAGCTGCATGTGTCTAATCAACCTTTTTTTCTCTTCCCCCCACTCTTCCCTGAAGAATCAAGAAGTAAGTAACGCTTTCTAACACATTAACTGAATTCACAGTTTGTTTACCTAATACCAGTTGCCAATACATGACTTATCTCATTTTAGATCAAAAATGATTAAAGTGGAGAACTTTGAGTCCTACTTTAAGAAGCAGCAAGCTGACTCCAACTGTGGTTTTGCTGAAGAGTATGAGGTACGTGCCCTCAGTGGAGAGAGCTCCGTGACAAACATTGCTGGAAAGGCAAACTATG